AGATTTGGATATTTCTCATCTGTACGCTACTCCTTCAGAAACCGGGAATCCAGGACCTAAAGTTTTCCTCTGCGGCTTGTCGCGCTTAAAGAAGGCAAAAAGCTGGATCAGCAAAGGGGTTGCTTTTAGTTTGTTCTCAACTCAAGGGGAAGGCAAGGCCTGACTCCGTTGAGCTCTTCGCTCGGCCCGTTACGTGTCATCAAATATCCTCGTCGTCATCCAGTCGAGCTGGATTTTGGGAATGAGTTGGAAACAACGGTGGTGGTGGGAATGTAAGATCAGGCTGCGACGATGGCATGACTGCAATGCAAGCATTCTGATATTGAAACTGGTCATAAACGAAAGACTGCAACTGATCCACTCGTCCCTGCATTCCCTCGTGTTAAAGAGTCATTCACAAGTCCATTGCTTTAAGCCGCCAACGTATTTTCCATGTACATCACCAGCGTGAGGAGGTGGTGCCTGATGAGAGAACTGAGAGGTGCTGGGCCTATCCTGATGCCCTGCGAGCTTGTCCCGAAAGTCCCTCGTGAGTGCGGGCCGAGGGTGTAATACTTCTTCAGATTCATGTGTGGTAACACCCCCTTGTATACAAAGATCATGGATTAAGAAAGAGTGTCCCAAGCTCTCAGTAGCTGACCCGGCTAAAATTCGCAAGATATTATTCTGAATAATCTTCCCAACGTCGATAGAGTATCCCTGCTGAATTGCATAATTCAATATAGCCCGCTCTTTCATCACCTCACTAACGTTGCTACTTGGAACCAATTTATCTGATATGAAGTGATGCCAAACCTTAGAATTACTCGTCAGGTCAGAGGCGAGGAAATTTGTCACACCACTTGCATTCTGTTTCCATTTGGTACCATCGCGAGTAAGCGTCTGAATTAATACGACTGGGTCAACCCCTTCATCATGCGACCTTGAGTAGTCATCATTTGGAATATCCCGTGTGTGGTGGAAGGAATTGATGGAAACACTATCAAACCGGATCCCGTGACCACGAACAAATACTTTGAAGTTTCTGTGCTCCTTCGCATTCGCATAAAACTCCTTCACGAAGGAATGGAAGCCGTCCCGAGTTGTATAACAAATTTGCGCACCCTATACTCTGTATTTTATTAGGCAATAAATGTTCAAAACCTAGCTCCGGAATGCAGTTCCGATATATCACCATCTTTGTAAAACATTCATCTACCTTGGGGCTCACAAATCGCTGCTGATCATAGGAAGTGGTAGACGAGAAAGCCGTGGATTTAGATTTCTTCTGAGGAGGCATGTTGTATAAATCCAGAAAAGCGCTCAAGAATACCAAAGGCAAGCCAAAGTATACCGCCCAATTCAAGCCTAAGATAGCCCCTTCGCCAAGTTTGACGACACCGAACACCCAATTCCAAACCACAATTCCAATAACCTCGAAGAAAGCACCACAATAAAGCACAAAAGTCATACCGGCAATTCCTCAAACACTTTGTAAGCACCACCCCCACTAAAACACCAAACACTAAACCCAGGGGCGGAGCCAGCCCTTCAAACTAGGGGGGTCCTGGAGATAAAGGGGCGGGGGCTCACGCTGCCCCCGAAA